TGTCTGGGCAGCCCACTCGGGCAGGCTTAGACAACAAGTTATCATATCTCTATAAAAGTACGTATCAAATAATGAAGGTAAAAGTATTCTAGACTTTTTGGTGGCATATGATTTAATCATATGTAACACTTATTTTGAAAGAGATAGAAAAACTTAATTACATACAAGAGTGGTGCCAATAAATCAAAAATAAACTATTTTCTAAGTAGGAAAAGTGATAACTGATAAAATATTTTGCAAAGATTGCAAGGTAATATCGGGAGAGGGTCTTACAACCCAACATAGGTTACTAGTCATAGATAAAAGATTAAATATGTAGTCAAGGTAAGAAGAAAGTACCTAAAATACATAGGATAAATTGTGGAACCTTAAAAACTATGATAAAAAGGAAAGATTTACTAAGAATTTACTTGAAAACATTAATTGGAGTATGAAAAAGAAGCAAATAAAACATGAGAGAAGGTAACTAAAGAGATAAAATCAATTGCTAAAAGAGAGTTAGGGGTTTCTAGAGGTGTACTGTTACTAAAGAATCGTAGTGGTGGAATCAAGATATTCAAAAAAAAGTTAAGGAGAAAAAAGCGTGTTACAAACCGCTTTACAAGTGTATGAGTGATGAAAATATTGAAAAATGTAAGAAGGCTAAAAAAGAAGCGAACAATATGGTAAGTGAAGCAAAGATAAAAGCCTTCAGAAACTTTTATAATAGATTATATACTAAGAAGAGAGAAAAGGACCTCTATAAAATTGCAAAGCAAAGGGAAAGTGATGTGGTCGTTAGTAGCGGCTCATAAAGGACCGGTTGTGACCCGGGTTCTAGTCGCACTCAACTGGGTGGTTCAATCTGGTAGGCACGACCCATGGTACCTTTGGGGTACATGGGTCGTAGGCGGATGCTTTGGTAGGCGGGTGCTTTGGTAGACGGATGCTTTGGTAGGCGGGTGCTTTGGTAGGCGGATGCTTTGGTAGGCGGATGCTTTGGTAGGCGGATGCCTTGGTAGGCTGAGGCTTTGGTAGGCGGGTGCTTTGGTAGGCGGATGCTTTGGTAGGCGGAGGCTTTGGTAGGCGGATGCTTTGGTAGGCGGGTACATGGTCGCTAGGCAAAAGTTCTGGTGGGCATAGCCCATGGTACCTTTGGAGTATATGGGTGGTCGGCGGAGGCTAGTTACGTGGGTGGTCGGCGGAGCCTAGCTCAACGTGGACTAGGCAGCACCTGGGCACCTAAGTAGCTGGACGTCCCATTGAGGTGACCAGAGCCCAAAGAGGGTATCATACTCAAGTCATAAAGAGGTTCGTAACCTCAAGGACTCTTGGAATTTTGATTTAATCTGAGGAGAAGACTCATGGTATGATAAGAACTCTACAGCCTCTACATGTCTTCATCTATAAAAGGGGCGCAGGTTATTTCATTTACACAACACACACATACAAATTCTCTCGTTACTCTGCCGCTTTTTCTTCGGATCACCACTGACTTGAGCGTCGGAGTGTTCGCGCCGGGACCACCCCCGGCGTGTTTTGCAGGTACCGGCGATCAAGGAGACGTAACCCGGTTCGAGGAGGAGCGGTCCAGCGGTCCAGGTTTGTGTGGTATAACAGAAAGGAAGACAAATAATTAGGAAATTAAATGCATAAAAGATGAAAATTGGGAGGTATTAGTTGATGATAAAATAATAAAGGATAAGTTGAAAGATTATTTCCATAAGCTATTTAATGTAGCGGATAATAGGGAAATATCACTAGGGGAATTACAAAAAAATAAGAAATATAAAATTCTACATACTATATAAAAATCCAAACTAAAGAAGTAGAGAAAGCAATGCAAAAAAATGAAAAATGGCAAAGTCATAGGTCCCGATGATATTCCGAGAGATGTATGGAGATGCCTTGGTAAATTTGGAATTGATTAGCTTTCGAACTTTTGTAACATAATCATGAAGAGTAAGAAAATGTTCAACCAATAGAGTAAAAGTACATTAATACATTTATTTAAAAACTAAGAAGATATTCAGAATTTTACAAACTACAGTGGTATAAAACTAATGTGTCACACTATGAAATTATGAGAGGGAGTAATAGAAACTAGACTAAGGCAAGAAACAAACATAGCAAAAAACCAATTTGACTTTATGCTGGGTAGATCAAGAATGGAAGCTATTCATGTAATAAGGAGACTTTGTGAATATGTTGTGAGAATTTTTTTTCGTTGCATATGGTCTTTATTGACTTTGAAAAAATATACGATAGTGTTAATAGAGGTTTAATGTGAAAACTTGTGTTAGGACACCAATAGGGATATTGGGTGAATTTTATATCAAAATTGGTTCGCATCAAGGTTCGACATTGCGTCCAAATCTCTCTGCATTAGTAGTTGATGAACTTACAAAACATCTGCAGTTGGACATCACTGATTGCATGTTGTTTGTGAATTACATAGTGTTAGTAGATGAGACGAGAGAGGAGG